GAAAAGTAATTGATGATTAGCAAGACGAGGAAATTGAATGCGGAAAGTCATACGGAAAACTGTTTTTACAATAAGATATTTTTACTACGTAAAGAGATTAATTAAATTATTAAGCGTATCATTTGATAAGAATAAAGAACTTATAGAAAGATTTATATTTATAAAGAAAAATTTATATAAAGGTTGAAATTTATATGTATTAGTATTATTTATTATCAGAACGAGGCTTATTAATCTAATGAATTGCATTATTAAATTATTATTTTATCATTGAATTTACTTTATTATAGTAATAATTATAAGAAATAAATACACAAATAAATAAGAATTTCGTCATTTAGAATTCTGGTTATCGGACTTTAACGAGAGTATTATCATAATGTGTATGAAATTGTTAATATAAATATATAATGTATTATGAAAAATATATTACAATCTATTAGAATGACGAATATCAGTAGATTTACATGGATGAACAATTAAATAATATTTTTCAAAATCGATGGTTTTATGTGAATATTTTATTAGTAAATCAAAAATTACAAATCAATAAGATGACTTTGTATTTGCGAGAATAATTTTCATTTTCATTAATGAAAAATATTATAGCAATATCGTTACGGTAAAGTAGATCAATATTATATTTATTGATCATAATAGTGAAGCAGAAAAAGACAGGAATACAAGGCTTTACGGATTCGGACAAGGACAAATATATGATGAACGAGCGATTTTGCCGGACACGAATACGGACTCACCGACTTCCGTTGGATGTTGCAAGAAGAATAGCGCGATTGTCCGTGAACTAATAGAATTTTTATTTTTTCACCTGTTATTTTTTAAATGTTACTGTAAACGATGCACATTTACAATAACCAATAGTACAATTTAATAAGCTATTTGAATTACTGATTTCATAAAAAAATTTATAACTTCTTCATTCTATTTCCCGGAGTATTCATTGGCGTTAGATATCTGATAAAGTTTCATAATAATGATAAATTGATAATTAACTTAATAAATTGCAATATTATATTGAATTATTAGTCATTAATTTGAAATGTAAAAGTATTTGAAATGCAGAGGAATAGAAAAATTTCAAGAATGTCGTGGCAAAATAGTATTCATCACATTTTATGATAATTTTAGTACTCATTCATGCTCATTCGTGAATTTGAGCATCGATTGTGCATTTTGTAAGCTTCCTTTTCTAAAATTAACATTATTATAAATATTATTGTCTTGATAGATGGATTCTTGATTCTCTTCTTTCTTATAATTATGTATTTAAAAAGTATGAGCTTTAAAACTACGGATTTTATTGTTTTTTCTATTATCCAAATAAAAATGTCTTCGATTTGTCGTTATGATGATGTGTTATTCAAATTGCATATATTAAGGATTGATCGGCTTATATTATAATTATAATATACGATCATTTATAATTTTACTATTAATTGTTCGATATGCTGCTCATATTACTTGAAATATCTGTAATTTATTAATGTTCGATTTAAGGTAGAAAGTTCCAAATATCAGATTCAAAAAGAATATGATAAATTTCTTTACAATGTAAAGCTTTCTATCCCTGCACTTTTAACTAAACAAACGAAAAATTACGCTTTACAAATCCTTGGCTAATGTTCCACGTGTACGAACCAATAATATTTATTATAAATTAAACGAAGAGTAATAATGGTGAGAGTAATAATGAGTAAGATGAAAATAAACCTATATAGATAATAGGATACGAAAGAGGAATACGCGTGCGCCAGCACAAAAGCCTAAGAGAAAGGAATAGAATGGAGGGAGGAGACAGAGAGCGCGGCGATGGGAGGTGCGACGGTAGGGTATGGGTGGGAGGATGATGGTGATGGTGAGGGTGAGGGTGATGGTGATGGTGATGGTGAGGGTGAGGGTGAGGATGAGGGTGAGGGTGACGGTGAAGGGAGGGGGGGGGAGAGAATCGAAGAGCTCGGAAGTCGCGTACACTCAGCTCTGGAGCGCAAATGAATACAAGTGTATGCGTGTGCGATCCACCTACAGCACCAACACGCCCATTGATACCAAACTACCTCGATCGGCGTTAGTAACAACGTTGGTTCTACGTTAACGATCGGGGACCGTTTGCAAACCGATTTGCTGGCTAAGCTTGCGGCGATGACTAAAGATATACACGCTCGTTGTCGATGTATGCGTGATCGATTTTAACACGATCAGCTACTCGACGATTTTTATTCTCCTTTTATTCAGGCAGAGTTCTGGCTTTTCTACCAGGCAATTGTTATGAATTTCGTAAAATCATGCTCGATGCTTTATTTATTACGATATTATAGAATAATAATACGGGTAAGTTATTAAATTGTAAATGGACATTGTACGTTAAGAATAAATAACCCGGATTTTCCATTAACACTTTGATCGACAATTGCCTGTCCAATACAAAGATATGTAATTGATAAATATATTTATGGTAATTTAATGGGTTAAAATTAATTGCTTTCTCGTTTCCTTTCTTATGCACGCAATTATGATATCTATTCGAGTATCGACTATGCAGATTTTTAAAAAACAAAAAAAAAAAAGTAAAACAAAAAATGAATCATATCATATAGTAGAAAAATCAATAATTTCTTAGAGATAAAATAAATAAAGTTTACAACGATTTGAACAGATTGCACGATGATATTATATTACTGATTTTACAAACTGATTATCAGTTACAATATTGATATACTTCGTAGGAGTGACGTCAATTTTCAAGAATCGTTTCCAAATTCGTAAGGACATTGTGAGATTGTTTTAAAAGAAAGCTATATATATATATATATATATATATATATATATATATATATATGGTAATTGGATTGTACGTAGAGTCTCAAGGCCAATAGCAAAATGGTAGAATGTCCAAGCGAGTACACGTATTTATTGTTAAGCAACCTCAGTTATGCAGTATGATTTTAAATTGTAGGAAATTACGATAGATTGATATAGAAAACTTCTTTTATTATTTTTCTAACCTGATAAATCCAGATTCGAAGTTTACATAAAGTTTTGCGATTTTTAATACGCCCATCTAACGATAACCTATTTAGACTATTCAATTAAAAGGCGGCTTAATTTAACAAAGAATAACGATTATCTGCTATCGCTATAATGATCATTGAGAGGCTAATTTTAAATAATAATTACTATAAAATGTATTTTATGCGTATGCATACATCATTTTGGGACAAATCTCTTCACGATGTTGTAAGTAATCATATTGAGCATTGTACAAATTAACTTTTCCTATTTATCATACGTTTTATCATATAAAAATGATAAATTTTTATCATTAGAAAATCTGGCATAAGAAAGTCCAATGATAAGGTCTGCAAATATATGAAAATAAAAATTTTAAGTAAGGATGTCTTTTCTGTTTTACTGGACTATAATATAAAGTGTTGGAAGAGACCGTGAGTTGTTGACGAGAACATTTTTATATGATTACATTATATGAGCGATATATGCACTGAAATTTCTTTAATACAACGTATTAAAGCATCATCGTACTTAAAAATACATGATAATTAATTTGGACATAAAATTGATTCTTCTATATATGGCAATGGTTGTACCGAGTTTGTTCCTCTAGGACAAAAAGTATATAAGAACCCTCGATTAAAAGTTCATTAACTATAAATAGGAATTTTTTGTTTTAGTTTAGATATTAGAGATGAGTGAACTCTCACGGGACGCGAATAGCTTTTGAAATATATATATATATATATATATATATATATATACACATAAGCTATAATGTAGGTAAATCGGAAGTAATTTTTGGAATAGTCTCGGTGTCTGCTTACAATGAAGGAAGAAACGACGAGACTTGACGCACCCTTCCGATTTCTTTACAATGCCATTATACAACTTATTGATAATATCAGCAAGTACAACTGAAAAGGAGTACCATAATGTTCGATACATGTGTGCATATCAGCATGTTGACCGGTCACCCACTTATTTCCCTTGTTTGCGATTGCTCTGGGCATTCAATGCATCCTACGACGATAGGGCTTGGCTTTATGGCATTGGTAATAACTGGGCTTGGTTGATGAGGGAAAGGATGCTTATTCCTTTATTTTCTTGCACATTGCAACGATCGATCGCTCGTTCCTTTTTTTTTTTTTTTTTTTGTTTTTTTTTCCCCCCCACTGTCGGGTTAAGACAATTTGGTTATTTGTAATTTCATTCATTGATTCCTCGTCTACGGCAAATGAGTGTCAATTACAATATTAAAATAGGCTTTATAGATTTTAATTGCGCGTAGATGATCAATTAGCCTTTAATAATATACATCGATGTGATAAGAGGGAAATGTTTTTTTTTTTTTTAATCGACCTTAGTATATAATAATTGACTAAACGAAAATACGCTTTTAATACATCGATAATGAAGAATATCGTGCGCACACTCGCTTTTGCATATACATAGGCTATTTATTAGACATTATTAGGGTATCGTTAAAGAAGAAGAAAATTAATTTTCTGTAAATTCAAAATAGAATTGCTTTAGGCTTTAACACGACATCATTTTGCGCATTATTATAAAGACAAAAGCCGCGACCACAAAAGTACAGTTAACTTACGAATATACATCTTAGCACAAATACATTTAATTATGCGTTCGTATATATACGACTCTACTGTATTTTACTGAAAAAATTATTAACACAAGCCATAGGCATAAAATAAGTTGCAATTCCTAATGCATTTTTTATACGCAATACGTGAAAAATGCAAATTTTTCGAATTCATAAATCCTCGGACTTCCTATTAATAATATCAGCCTCGGCCCAACACTGACAAAGCTCACACACACGCGCATACACTCAACCGCTAGTATCGGGGTCCTTTCTAATATACTCTGCCGTACAATAATAATAATAATAATAATAATAATAATCGTCGGAGAATAATGAGCGACTGTCGACTATCGGACAGATGTCTTACCTTCTTGGAGCCGTCGAATTGGCGATTTGATGTTGCGGGCTGACCGGTGTGCTGGAGGTCGAGCTCATGCTACTGGACATTCCGCCGGTGCCGGTGCCGGTGCCGATGCTGCTGGCGCAGGTGCTCGTCGACTCGGCCGAACTCGCCGCCGACTGTCTCGTCTGCTGCCTCTCCTGGCACCTGCCCCCTGCACGTCGACGACCGCGTCGCGGACTATTGGCAGTCGCACTCGCGACCCCCCCAGCACTCGCACTCGCGCCTACGACGGTCGCGTTGGCGGCAGTTGGGCTGGTGGTCGGGCTGGTGGTCGGGCTGGTGGTCGAGCTGGTCGTTGAGCCGGTCTCGATGCCAGCCCCGTTGTTATTCCTCACCGGACCCGGGGCGCTCGAGGGTCGGAGGAGGCCACCCGTTGTGTCGTTCGTCTGGGCGGCGAGGATTTCCGGTGCTATGAGCGCGATGTCCGGTAGGGAGTTAGGCGCCGAGACAGTCGAGGAGTTGTCCGACATGCGGAACTGACGGAGGCGGCGCATCGAGGCGCGCAGCCATGGCAAAGTGCCGCTGCTGTTACTGCAACCACATTCGTACCACATCACTTTTTTCATCAAGACAATTAAACATTAACAGAGAGTAAAAAAAAAAAACAAAAACAAAAAAAAAAAAAAAAGAAAAAACAATGAAAAAACGATGAAGAAAGTAAAAAGCTTTGCTCGTTAATTTTCTATTACCAAGTCGGAAGTTCGAAATGTCGATTTTGTTTCTATATGCTTCATTTTTTATTCAAGCCGACGTCAAAAATTTGTCACATAGTGTATAAATGATTTATTAATTCAATTGGGGCGCGAGAGGGAAGGAGAAACGATTGGTGTTTAAATTAATGTCAATTACAGTTAGTAATGATAGTTTTGTTCGATTTACTAGTTTATCGAATGTAATAGATGCTCGTAATGACGAGTGCACTGATTTTAAAATTATTTATAGCTTTTTAAATAAATGCATATTTTATGCCCGACAGTTGGAACAATCAGATACATGACAAATGTATGCGTGCGCGCGCGCGCGTGTGCATATGTATGTGTAGGCGCGCATTCACATTCCCGGTATTATGTTAAATTATCAATAACTGGCTAAATTAATAAATGTGACTATAATTTGTAAATTGATGACTAATTATGATTTAGCTATACTTTTAGGCCGATAAGGATTTCTTTGAGTGTGCCATTTCTATAATTTTAAGTACCGAATTGTTCCAGCATATTCGATTCCATTATCTTTGGTTACTATTCGTTTATTAATAAATATCTATTCGCGAAGTTATGAGGCTGCGCGTATTATAAATATATAACTTAATGACAGTTTGTCTGACGGTAATAAAAAATCTTTCCCGATGAAAGATGAGAAGAGAGGGGTGTGAGAGAGAGAGAGAGAGAGAGAGAGAGAGAGAGAGCAGAAAAATAATCATAAATTGAAGGCAATGCTAAATCTTTGCTTGCGTCAAGTGGGCAAAAATTTTTAATCTAAGCACATGATAGATTCGATGTTTTAAAGAAAATTTTTTTTTACTATTAAGAGACAACTACTATTTACATTAGTACAAGTAAAAGAACGTAATCGCAGAATTTCCATGTACTATAAAATTTTTTACTTTATAGAAGAAACCGAAAATTACCGTAAAATTATAAATTATACTGTCGGAATGTTTTAGATCAAACGACCCCTAATCGCCCGTCGCTATCGCAACCACAATAAATTCTATGATATAATATATGTTTTGAATATTATAGTAGTGTGGACACGTGCATTATGTGCTTGGATAAACATTCCGGTGGAAATTTAATAATTCGCGAAAACAAGGTCTGTGGGCGAAGTCAACGGTAGTCGAACAATTTGAAAAGCAAATTTGCCAATGATTTTCATGCCGTAAATATCATTCATTGGCCGACTCGCTCATTCCTTCATTCAAGATTATTCATTAGCTCGCGACATGTGAAATTAGTGAATTTAGCCCCGGGCTTAACAATAATGATATCGAGCGGCCACAGTAATGCGTTTATCACTTAGGGCAATGGCAAATGTCAAAATGTATCCGAATAATGGAAAACGAAAAGTGAAATATCGGCTGCGGTTGGGATAAACGATCCGATAATCCAGTCCGGAGATCAGCGAAGGGAGGTCTGGAGTACGAAGATCGGCCACCTACCTTTCGCAACTCCCGGGCGCCCCGGGCATCCTGGGGAGGTCCGCGAGGCTGCGCTGCCCATTGGCCTCGGGAGGATTGCTCGACCGGAAGTGGCGCGCGTCGCTGATCCGCGGTGGGTCCGCGGCAACGTCCGTGGCGGCAGGGGTCGGACTCTTGGCCGCCGCGGCGACGGACATCGCGACACTGGCATCGTTGTTTGCGCGGCCGGCCAGACGCTTGGCGCGCATGCGCCCCGCGGATTCCCCGGTGGGGGAGCCGCACCGCCGTAGCCGCTGATCGGTGACCGGCGGCACCTCCCAAGGCGGTGGCAGCGGGGGTGGAGGTGGCGGTGGCGGTGACGGTGGCGGCTGCGGCGGCACCTTGTCGGCGCAGCACTCGATCTCAACTTCCTCCACCCACGACCAATCCACCCCCGAGCACGACGACGAGACGGAGGAGGACGACGAGAGGGACGAGGTGTTGTTGCTCGTGCTGATGACACTGGATGCTGAGGGCGAAGACCAGGGCCTGGAACAATGGAGTTCACTTGTTATAGAGGCAGCAACGTCGTGCCTTATGAGCTTATTATTGCTGTATTATCGTATTGACTTTATAATAGTCGTATGGGCATTTCCTGTAATCTCTCATTACAGTGGCTTAATGAGCAAACGTCACGTTGCAAATATTAAATCCCCACAATTTCGATTAAGCCCGCTTTTTCTCATTTCTATTTCATAACAAGAAAACTACGCGATAAAAAATGAAAGTCGGCGATACAAATCTTATCGCGTAATTGAGATATTATGATTCACACTTTATAAGTATTTTTACATTAATTGTATATTAAAGCGTGACTCCATGAGCTATACGTTTTATTAAGAATTTTTTTTAGAGATTTTTCCATCTTTCTGTAGTTAGAAAAAACAAACAACATTAAATTCACGAGAATTATAAATAGTAAGTTGCAGCAGTGCAACAAAAGCCATTTACTAATTAATTGTCTCTGATGTGGAAAAGAAAAAAAAACAAAAAAATAACCAACACAATAACTATTTTAAAATATATTAAATGGCGCGCTGTAATTACAATTGATAACAATTTATTTTCAACTACACTGATAATCAATCAATCAAATTGAATAATAGGCTATTAGCCTTTGTTTCTTTAATACGAAATTATTTTAATATTATAAAATTATGTGTGAAATTGTACGCGAATACATATGTTTTTATCGTTAATTATCTATAGAATAGCGATTAATTGGTACTTAAGCACTAAAATGTTTTTGCTCGAATTATATGGGCATAGAATGCTGCTTAAATGAATATATCTCATTTATTTTTCTGTTATTAATTGTTGATCATCGTAACTTTAGAGAACATTAATGACGTTTGGAAACAGTGACATTTAAGACTGCCAATACATTATATTAAATTTTACATTGCGATAAAGATCATCGAATATTCTTCAAATCACAAATCAAACTTGAATGTTTAAATAGCTAATTTTAATTCGGCACATAAATCTTTGAAAATTATATCTATTATTATTATTTATTTTTCTTTATTGCGAATTTCTCTATACCTAAAATACCATACATTCTCATATAATATTGATAAAACTTATTAACAAATTATTAACATTATTTCTATTAATGCTTAATACCATATCGTTATATTAAAAACATTAATGTAAATATTTTATATCAATATTTCTATTTAATTATGTATTATGTATGTGTGATGTTTATATATGCTCAATTGCGGTCAAATTGTCGTATAAATGTCATGTATTACGAAAATACGTAACAATTTATAATTAATTTTAAAAATAATAAATTTAATATGTTTATCAACATACCACTGCATATAGAATTGTAAATCTTGCTACATAGAAGGATTTTTAAAACGAATTTAGTAAATCTGAAATAGAGCTAAATAAATAGGCTCGTCAAAATTACCAAATATTAATTTGAGATTTCAAACGTCATGCAATAAAAGTTGTAAAGAGAGATAAAGAGATGTTGAGTGTGTGTGTGTGTGTGTGTGTGTGTGTGTGTGTGTGTGTG